GGTCTAGGACAGAAGCTGCATAAACTGGTTTGACCCAGATCAGTTGAGTCTGATACTACATTAAACCAGGTTTATCTTAAACCAGTTTTGGCCATTTTGCAACTGGTTTACATGCACTGAACTTGCGGGCATTTATACGTGTACTTTTGTCTGCTCTGATGCGCCAGAGATCCGATGCATCAGTGCAAACTTGATTAATCACGCCTGCTCCTTGTGCGAGCTGATGTGCCCAGCACTGCGTCACATACATTTGTATAAACAGCAAAATTCACATCAGCGCTAGGAAAGCGGTGCACTTTTGAACTAAAACACCTTCAATGTGTTTTAGTTCAAAAGCATGCTGCTGCCATTTTCTCAGTGCTGATGCGCATTTTGCTGTTTATACACATGCACATGCCACAGCACCTAGTGCTGCAGCGCAAGCATGTGTACAAACACCCTATGTTCTGTTACAGGTTTAAATCAATTTCTGATTACTTAAACTGATTTATGTATAACTTCTGTCCCTAACCCCATAGTGCAGAGGGCACATTGAGCAGGGGACAAGATGCATACATTTGAAGAGATTCAGAATCAGACTCATATCTTGGTTACACCGACATCACTGCAATTGCACCCATTAACTGCACTGGAATTACTCCACACTTACATTAGATTCTAGTACTTGATCTCCAATGCTAGGAGTTCTTGAGAGAGGCAATGTTGAAACTTCACTTGCTGTACATGTGGACACCTCATTTGTGAAATTATATGCCTTGCATGTTAGTTTTACACAGGTGTTCTTGAACAGAACAAGCCAGGTTAATATCTGGTCGTGAATTTTAAAGGTAAAAAGCACAAGGGAAGTGTGGGTGGACACCAATTTGGCGACTGAGAGTGATACTATTCTACCTTAAGTCTCTGAAAAACAGCTGACACACAGGTTGAAGGTTGCTGGGAATGTTTCCTATATAGAGAGTCCATTTGTAGGGGAGAGGGGATCATAGACTAGGGTTCACTAAGCTAAACAGGCAACAAAGAAAGGAATGGATTAAGCTAAATTATCCTCTGTTTAACACTTGGTGACTCTTAATGGACTTTGCCATTGGCTCTGGGAACTTCTGAGCTGACCAACTTAACCAGGCTGAGACACCTGCTGAAGAAACTCAACCTGTCTAAGCTACAGTCAGAGGGATGGCAGGACATTATATAAAGACAGGTATACATATTAGGGCTGTGCGAAGCTTCAGTCCCTGTTCAATTCGGCGTAGATTCAGCCTGATTCAGTGGCCGAATCTCTGAATCCGAGTTGAATCAGAGGACCCTTTAATCTCTCCGAATCGAATCGGAGAGATTCAGAAAGATTTGTTGATTCGGACAGCGAGACAGCTTTAAATGTTTTTTCTACATACCTCTAGGTAGCAGGGGCTCGTGAGTGCTGAGATGCTGGGGTGCATGGAGTGTCCCACAGAAGCGCGGGGGGCTCCCCAGCGCACTCAGCAGCAGACCTGGAAGTGGACCAGAAGCACTTCTGGTCCACTTCTGGGTCCACCAGGGAGCACACTGGGGGCCCCCCCCGCACCCCACCAGTTCAGTGACTGGTGCCTCCTGGGTCTGGGGGGGCACCTGAGGTCCCCTTCTGGCCAATCGTTGAGCTGGAGGACGTGGGGAGCCCCCCGCACGCTCTCCAGCAGATCCAGAAGCGAACCAGAAGTACTTCCAGTCCACTTCTGGGTTTACCGCTGAGCATGTGGCGGGCCCCTCGCCCCACACTCCTGTGGGATGCTCCATGCACCCCAGCATCTCACCATTCACAAGGTGCACTGCTACCTAGAGATATGGAGAAAAAACTTCTAAAGCTGTGTCTATGTCAGAATCGCTGATTCTCCGAATCAGCATCAAATCTTCGGATTCGGCCAAATCGAATCAGGGACAGTGATCCAAATCAATGAGGCATGCTAAATTGATGTGTTGATTAGTTTGCCGTCTAATCTGTATTTTAGGCTGTTTGTTCAAAGCTTTACTGTTGAGTTGAAGCTGGTGAGCCACCTGGTTGGCTGTGTGTGATGTTGTGGTATTGCTGTACTTTATTTGGGTTATTACTCAGCTTTCGAATGGTTAACCATGCTTTCCTGCGTGGGTCATTTATTCCTTCAATCAATTCTTTCCATTTCCATTGCCTTTCTTCTTGGAGCTTGTTAGTTAAGGCTATCCCTGCTGCAATAGTGTCTTGTGAGAAAGGATCTCTTTGAAACATTTTCTGGTATTTTTTGTATTTGGTTGCTAGCATGGGAGTAAACACTGCTATACACTCAGTTCTGAGCCTTGAGTTATGTGCCTCTTGGAGGTTTTGCGTGGTGCATTCACAAAGGGGTGGTAGTTATCCGAGACTGGTTTGAGGTGTGTCACGTTTTTGTCAAAGCTTTCAGAAAAAACCTCCTCTCTGTCTAACTGAGACAACATACAAATGGTTCAGTGCCGGTGTAATACAGGTATATAGTGCCAATGTAATACAGATATATAGATGCTGGATACATTGGCCACCAGAGCAAATCTGCAATAAAGCAATTGAAGTCAGTGCTGAGAACTACAGATACAAGATCTGGATTACCCTTTTTTGTTCTGAGATGAACTTATTACAGATAAACTGACCAAAAAGCAGAGTCTCACCACCCCGAAATTGAGAATACAGTTTTATATATGTATTCACCTGGAACTTGTGTTTGCAGAAGCAGGCAGCCTGCCAACAACAGAGTCAAAACTTTTTTTCTTGTGTGTGTTTGACATTCTTTAAAAAAAAAAAATCAAAATATTTAACAAAACAGTTTGAATAAATTGTGGAATGAAAAATCAATCATGCTGCTGGCTTTACATGTGCAACCAAGTCCTGCTCAACCACTCTGTGTGTATATATATGCACAAATGTATATGTATAGTGACTGGCTAAACTTTTGAATCTAGCTGAGCTTTCTTTGAGCTGTTCAATGCCGTCAGCTTCTGCTTCCTGGATTTGGATGTTTAGTGCTAAAAATATTTGTCTCCATGATAACATGATCCCGACTGCCTATTCCAGAAGGTTGCACCATGTTGTATTTTAATATTTCAAACAGGAAATGTCAAGGTCTGAGATGTTCAGCCCAGCCTCTGATACCTGCACATAGCCATGTAATCCTTTAGATTATTAGGGGGTGAGTCACCTTAGGTGTGGATGGTTTCCAGACCAAGCTTTCAGTGAATTGGGCCTGTGCCACCCTTCAGACCCTGGTTTAGGATCTTCAAGTTTGCTTGCAGAGGAGGCACGGGAGGGAAACCCTTATGAACATTCAAGGAGCTCTCTCCTACCCCATCTCATATCTTCAGTTCCCTGTTTTTACTTCATGTTAATACAGCTCACCAAACCTGAGTCCTTCCCTGGTTTTTTCCTTCCCTTCCAGGTCTCTGTATCTAAGACCTTCTTCACAGTTTTGTAAACGCCTCTCATAAAACCTACTGGGTTTTATATGTCCCATGTATACCATATGCCTGAAAAAGCAGATAACCTTCCTCTTGTCCTCTTGTTTTCAAAACCTTCCTACATTTGCTACCTCCATCTCTGTAATCTTCTGTTTTCCCTTGATTTAGCAGGTAATCTGGCTAGAAGAGGGACTGCGTCTTTACATGAATGGCAGAGAGGCACATTCCCTTCTGGTGTGATTTGCATCATGCAGAGCTGGTTTCATAGTTTGTTATTTAAGACCTGGTTCTCAAGTGAGGTCTGTACTAGTGCATGCAAAATAGACACACAAATATGTGCCCAATTTTCAGTAGCAAATGCCTGTTTTCCATGTGCCAATGCAGCAAGTGGAAATGCAAATTACTGTGCTCATTTGTACGTTCTCCCAGGTTTTTTTAGACTTGGGTCCTAAGGGTATTTAATGTGCAGAATTTCAGATACTCAAAACATCATTAAAATGGGTTGTATAAAACCGTATAAGCAATGCATACAACATTTGCCCTGCCACAAAATCATCTCTTCTGCAAGCACGATCATTTCCTCGGCACTCGCCTATTTTTCACCTGTTCTTGTTCTGCTCTGGTGTGTTGGGAAAACAGCGGGCTGCACTACAGGACACTCCCAAGTTCCTGTTTCTTTCTAGTTTGCATTTTGCTGCCTCCCCTGGGCTCCTGCCTGCTTCACAACATACAAAGATCAGTAAAATCTCTGGATGGAGCAAACACCAGCCCATTGCGCCGATCGCTCGCAGCTTGCTTTTTTCTTGTCAGGTTATCAGAAGTCTTGCTTTTGCAAATGGGGGAACAGAAGGAGGGGCCATGAACTTGAATAGACCAGTTTCCACCAGTGCTAAGCACCTTCCCTCATTTATTACACCAGTATCCGGATGCTTTGCCAAGGCAGCATGAAGGCGACTGACACTCCCTGGCTTTAAATCACTTCAGTGGTGCAAGTGCAGGATACAGTCAGGTCGGCTAATGCCAGCATTCAATTTTTTGATGCTATGCAGAACTGACAATTAAAGACTTGAACAGAGCAGCCTTGAAGTGAATGTGTGAACTCGAGTGTTGTGATAAGCAACATGTACCTAGTACAGACACATCTGTTGGTATATATGTATGGTTGGTGACTCACGCATCCCCCAAGGCAAGGCTGGGGAAGAATCTCAGGAAGAGGGGGGTTTGTTTGGCACTTTCCTATCCCATGCATTTGCAGTCACAAGAAACTGGGCTGGATCTCTCCCTGGATACATCCTAGTGCTCGGCGCTGTGAGCAAACTGCACGCTGAAAGCCATGTATCACCTCCCTCTCTATGTCAATCCGAGCGTGCAACGAGTACGGCCTCTCTCTGCGGAGCCTGCCCTAGCTGAAGCAGCACAGCAGCTCCTTAGTACAGAAGGGATTGGGTTTCACAGGCGGTGTGATCTGTGACTGCACTCTTTGGCTTAGGCTATGGCAACAAGCCTCATTGGGGCTTAGCCTTTCCCTCTCTGAGTGTAGAGGAACGCCCCAGTCTACATAGAAGGAAAATTGTTTTGCTGCATTTCTGCACAGCCCTCACTTCAAATGCAGTAGAGAGAGAGAGAGAGATTGGGCAGGCTCTGGACTGGTGTTCTGGGCTATTTCAACTTCAGGGCAACTTTAGAGAACTTCAGTTATTTTGGGTAAGTTTGTTTAAGTCTCTCTCTCTCTCTCTCCCCCCTCTCTCTCTGCCTCCTTTTTCTGCAATGCAGTTCGCACAACTTTGCAGTAAATTAAAGGGATTTTTAAACGAGGAACTTTAGCTCTGGGTGTCCTTTGGTGTAATAACTTGTCAGATTATAACTGTCATGCCAGCAGCTACCACCCTTGAGGAGTGAAGCATACATCTCCGTGCGCACCACCCCCCTGCTTCTAGAGAAACCTAATGAGGAAAGATTTAAAGTAAGGTACTTTACACAAGTCAACCATGTATGAAGCTGTGCCCACAGCTAAAACTTCTGCATCTGATATCCATTTTTGTCTAGGTCTCGTGCTTAGAGAGAAACAGATTTATGAGAGATTAGTGAGTTTAACACATGCTTGACAGCGCTCTGATGTGGTTTCCTGAGACGGGAGATTTAGCACTTGTGCATAAACTTCACATGCTTTCAGGGAAGGATCCGCTTGGAGTCCTGTGCATTTGCACCATTCAACCATCTCTATTTCAAGCATACACGTTGCTTTCCCTCCTCCCCACTCTTTGCACCGCACAGGAGAACCCAAACGCAGGCATTGTGAAACTCTGCTTAAAGGAAATTAAAGCCACAGCCCTAAACTGCTTCAGAGCATTGCAGTGTGCACCCAGCTGTTTGACTGCAGTAACATTGATTTATAAATGTAAAGGAATCTCGTGTGAGTGCTTTGCGTTAAATATGTACATTGGTATTTTTACAGGGGATTTATTACAAGAGGAATGCTGTATGTATGCATATTACATATCAATAAATACCGTCCGCAATATATATAGCACCTTGGAATGTGTGCTTGGCACCAAAATGCCGTATTTTGGTAGTTTATGAGATAAGGATCAATCGCTCAAATGTTTAAAAGAGATATACAAATGAGATCCCACATATCTTTCCTATGAGTGGTAGGACTACTCTAGAAAAACCTGATAATAATTAAGATTTGTCTCTCTGACTAAATTCCAATAATCCCATCATTCGACCCATGTCATTAATGCTAACTTCAAACCCAAATTATCTGAAGCAGGGCTTTTGCATTGAGTTTCTAGCTAGTCTGTGCATTGAATGAGAAAGAGCTAGCATCTTTGACAGGCAAGAAGAAAAACATTATCCAAAAACCATCCCGGAGAGGGAACAGTTCAGATATGAAATTTATGAAGCAAGAAACTCTGAAGGTTTAGTTGCGTTCAGTGACTGCCACATACACTGTTCTGATCATTACTACCTGTTATGTACAAAAGTACAAAATGTTGGCTCCAACCTAACTGTAATTATTGCTTAAGTTATACACCTTGTTATGCCAAAGAGTGAGTAAGAAAAGTGCCAGCTCCAAAAGAGATTAAGCCAGAGATTATTTTTTTTGCAAATGAGCTTCTTCCCACACTTGCTGCTGATGTACTTGTATTAACAGTGCAGAAAATCCATGCAGTTTAATTAGCATCATGAAATGCGTCATGTTTCAGAGCTTTATTGGGCTGCTGCATTCGTTATTTTTGAAGTTGCTATTTGTACAACCTTAAAAGTTAAATGCTAAAACTGTACTAGTTCTGCTTGAGTGCTTGCAAGTCCCACGCTCGCTTTCAGGGTTGTTTTTTTTATGAGTTACTAGAGATTTGTCAGCTGAAATCACATTTTACTATTTTTGGTGTGGCCCTCTCATAAAGTAAACTCAACTATTAGATTACAAGGTTTGTGTAAATCTTTTTCAGCTAATGTTGGTTTGACCATACTCGGGCCTTACAAGTAATTCATTGAAGATGGCTAAACTCCAATGTAAAGCTGTTTTTAGCATGAAAGATGTTAAGTTTGTTTAGTCAGAAGTGGTGTCAGTAATTTCTTAGTGTTGATTACCCCCTGATTTGGGAAGAGTGAATGTTTTAGGGTATTAATCATCTTGGAAGGTCAGTCTGCATACTCGGCTGTGCGGTCAACTTGCCTTTATTCACTTATAGTGGGAGTTGGAGCTCATCCCTGATGTGAAATCTGGCAGTTTGTGTAGAATATACAGCCAGGGAAATAAACCTTTAAAGGCCTGATACTGCCCTCATTGACTTCAGCAAGCTGAGAATCAGAAGTAAGGGCCAAATTCTTCTACTCTTCCTTGAGATTTTACTATCTTGGCAAGTTTTCCAAGGCATTGTGAAGAGCATGGAGTTAGGTGAAGCAGAATCTGGCCTTTAATGCCTTCTTCAGAGAAGTATTCTACCTTCCACATAGCTGTCAGAAGTTATGCTCCTTGGTTTGAGTCTTTAAAGAATCACAGAACTTCTTTGCCTTGAATATACTGGCTTTGAAAAAAGCCAGTTGTCCTGTGTTGAAATAGGGAGTCTCTGGGATTCTTCACATCATCATCATAATAGACTAATCAGTCAGGAAATAAAATAGATGCATTTTAAAGACAAGAAAGTAACGTACAATTGATCACATCATTTTACATGGAGCTGTTTTTGCATGTTGTAATCCCTTCAGT